AAATGTAAATATTTGTCTAATGATGTAAATAATGTGTTCCACAAGAGATTGATGAAGATTATAGTACTAATGTGGAAATAATTCTAAAACATTAAAAAAAAAACAAAACTTCTAGGCCAGGTGGGGTGGAGGCTGAGGTGGGAGGATTGCTTGAGGCCAGGACTTTAAGATAAGCTTGGGCAACAGCAAGACCCCCTCTATACAAAAATTTAAGAATTAGCTCGGCATGGTGGCATGCATGCCTACCATGTAGTCCCAGCTACTTGGGCAGCTGAGGCAGGAGGAGGATAGCTTGAGGCCAGGAGTTTGAGGTTGCAGTGAGCTATGATGATGTCACTCCCCTCTAGCCTAGACAATAAATTAAGACCCTATCCCCAAAAAAAACCAAAAAAACCAAAAACAAACAAATAAAAAAAGCTATGATGACCCATATGCTCAAGGACTTAATGGGAGAAGTAGATAATATTCAAAAAACAGACAATGTAAACAGAGAGATGGAAATTCTAAGAAAGAATCAAAAAGAGGCTGGGCATCATGGTAGCTCATGCCTATAATCCTAGCACTCTGGGAGGCCAAGGTGAGAGGATCCCTTGAGGTCAGGAGTTTGGGACCAGCCTGAGCAAGAGAGTGACGCTGTCTCTACTAAAAATAGAAAAAAAAAATTAGCCAGGCATGGTGGTGCAAGCCTATAGTCCAAGGTCCTCAGGAGGCCAAGGCAGGAGAATCACTTGAGCTCAGGAGTAAGAGGTTGCTGTGAGCTATAATCATGCTACTACACTCTACCTGGAGCATCCCAGCTACTCAGGAGGCTGAGGCAGGAGGATTGCTTGAGTCCAGGAGTTCAAGGCTGCAGTGAGCTATGATTGTACCATTGTACTCTAGCCTAGGTAATAGAGCAAGACTCTGTCTCTTTAAAAAAAAAAAAAAGATGATAAAGGAATATTATGAACAAGTCTATGCTCACATATTTGATAACCTAGATGAAATGGTCCAATTCCTTGAAAGATACAATCTGCCAAAAATTACATAGTTGAAATAGTCTGAAAAGGCCTATATCTTTTAAAGAAATTGAACTAATTACCTTCCAAAACAGAAAGCACCAGGCCCAAAGTGTTTACTAGTGGATTCTACCAAACATTTATGGAAGAAATTATACCAATTCTCTACAATCTTTTCCAGAAGTTAGAAGCAGAAGGAATACTTTCTAACTCATTCTGTGAGGCCAATATTACCCTAATACCAAAACCTGACAAAGGGGACATTAGAAGGAGAGAGGACTATAGACCAATATATCTCATGAACATGTATGCAAAAGTCTTCAACAAAATATTAGCTATTCAAACCCAACAATGTATAAAAGGAATGGTGTACCACAAACAAGTAAGATTTACCTCAGGTGTGCAAGGCTGGTTCGGCATTCAAAATTCAGTTAATATAATTCGTCACATCAAGAAGCTATGGAAGAAAAATCACATAATTGTATTGATAGATGCATAAAAAGCATCTGACAAAATCCAATACCCATTCATGATAAAAATAAAGCAAAACAACAACAAAAAACCTCTTAACAAATTAGAAATAGAGGGGAACTTCATCAACTTGATAAAGAACATGTACAGGCCAGGATGGGCATGGTAGCTCACACCTGTGAGCACTTTGGGAAGCCAAGGCAGAAGGATCTGTTGAGGCCAGGAGTTTGTTACTAGCCTGGACAACAAAGCGAGACTCTGTCTCAAAAAAAAAAAAAAAAAAAAAAAGATTGCAGACCCTGCTCTGAGCCACTAAAAGCTTACGTAAAGCCTTGGGAATCCTCCTCGTTAGCTCTTGTGTCCTCTGGCCTTGGCCCCAGGGCTCTTTGGTGCTCCTGTGTTTCCTTGTATGATAAGGAGTTCTGAGCCCGTCTTCCACACTTCTTGCTCCAGATGTAGATCAACCACTCAGAAAGGATATGTTGAAGGAAAAACAGGCAGAGTCGCAATCGACCAGGGGATAATAGACAATCGCTAGCTGTCCCTGTAAGCGATAG